ATGCAGTACAGCTACAGCTGCTTGGATATTCACCTACTGCAGACGTGTGCGAACATTACTTATACATTTAACAGTAGTGTTATTAATCAATCAGGTTCATATTTCATCAGTATGTATTGGGGAAGTTTTGAAAATGAGGATGTTTTTGGACTGAGGTTTGCAATATGCGTCATGTATGTGAGAACTCTGATGGTCAAGAAGAGTCTTAGTTCATTGGCTCTGGGTGGAGGATGGTCCAAATACTCTGACATGTTTCCGTTCTGTCTTCAAAATGGACCAAGTCTCCACTGATCTGCTTGGCATATTTTTTTCTGTCATTCTGCTTTGGTAGAACAACAACTGTCTGCTGCACGATGTGCATGCTAGAGTTCAGAAAATGTGTTGAACCTTTAATGGCAGTGGAACATTTACATTTTCAATGAACATGTTCCTCTTTGATGATATATGCAAATTAAAAAGTTTTTCCTCTCCAGTGACTTGATGAGAGTCAATTATTTTTACTCTTTCTGTCATTTTGTTTCAGCTTTTGTGATGAAATGTCAATCCTGCTCACACACGAGCACCTTAACCCTCATTTAACACCTCAGATCTTCAGACCTCATTTTTTTTGTTTCAGGTCTTCCCACTGATGCTTGCACTGACTTCCTGTGGACAGAGTCAAACTGAGGGGATCGAACAAACTAATGATTCGTGCTACAATTTATGCCCAGCTGGTAAGATATACATAGGATTATTATTGACAATTATTGTCCTTTGTGAAGTCATTGTGGAAATATCATATTAACTCGTTACCTTTCTCTTTCTCTCTGTCTTTCCCAGGATATCATAAAGTTGGTGATTGTGATGATCAAGTTAAAAAGTACAAATGCAAGAAATGTGAGCATGGCACATTCACGGAGGTAGAAAACTTCGTAGAGAAATGTCGTAGGTGTGACTCATGTCATCGTAAGTATCCTGCTCATTTTCAGTTTGCTGCTACACATACTGTCAGCTTGTGTGATAAAGTTTAAGGAGCGTTCAAGTACAAATTAGACTAGAATAAAGCAGATGGATATTTTCTGGTTATTTCAATATATAAAACATGTGAAGATGACACCTTCACTGGAAAACCACAGAGAGAAACGTGGACTAAAATAAAACAGTAAACTGGTATTTTCTGTTTATTTGGTCATATAAAAGACAATGCTATTCTTCGCTGCATCTAAGATCTCTTTTAATGATGAGCAAATTATAATGATCTAATATTTCTGTTAAACCAGTTTGATGGAGTGGAATGAAATAAATATTTAGTGTGGGAAATCCTAATATAATAGTAACTGTATGTTACTAATAACATCAGTGCCAGTTTGAGTATTCACTTTGCATGGAGACTTGCACTGTAACAACAACACGTGAATTTGTGTGCGTACCAGTTTGAGCGTGCCGTTAACATATTGATTCCTTCTGTTTACATTTCAACTGAGTTTCACATAAAATATTGAAGCAGAACTTGGAAAAATCATTTCATGTGCTAATTGATGAAAAGAATGTGACAGTAGAAAACAACATGTGGTCCCATGGCCTTATCGGGACTGCGTTTTTCAGTTATTTGGACTGAGATGGAAACACTGTATTTTGCTTTTCCCCCAGATGATGAGGTGGTAATAGAGCCCTGCACCTTTAACAGGAGCACGGTGTGTGGCTGCATGGAGCGATACTACAATTCAGGATCTTATTCACGGCAATGTTCAAAATGTTCCTGCCCGCACTGCCCACGTAAGTAACCTCAAAGGATTTTAAAGCATTAGACTGATATTCACTGCAGCCAAACGGATTCATTTTCTAATATAATAACAATCTCACTTTAAATTCCTACATTCACAGTTACTCTTATGTTCCTTTCAGGGAATGCTGACTACTACACGAAGTGCCCACACCCCCTGAGGTAGAAGACTTTACAATGTAACAGAAAATAAACAAAAAAACATAGACAGTGTGCTTAAATTTTGTTCGCGACAGACTGACAAGAACACAGAACTGCAAATGAAAGCGCCAATGATATAAAATACATATACTTACACTGTGGTGATAGCTTACGCTGTATTGTATGTGAATACAGTTTACAGGTATGCACCAAAATTGCAGTGTTTGTTCAGTGATGTTTGTTCATTTAATGTGTATCAACTTCTGGTGACGTTTAGAGGGCCACTAACTTACTCTAGATAAATGGCAACTATTTGTCAGTGCTAACTAAAATGTGATCTACCATATGTTTGTGGTTGAGTTAAACATGGCCTGATTTCAGCAGGGGACGCGTTGTCTTTTTGTTAGAATGGAGGAAACATGGTTACAAATTTCTCTCCCCCTCCCATATTTCCTGTGGTTTGACTGAGGCCTTGACTACCTGTGCTAAATAACATGCCTGCAGATGACAAAAGTCCTGATAATAGGCAGGTTAGAGTTGCTTTTCAAGCACTGTTTTCCAGTTTTTTCCAGTTTTACACATTTGTATTAAAGAATAGACAGATCCCCTGGACATCCACCTTTACATTTCTATAACCATTTCTTCTGATCACTGTACCATAATGTCTTTTTTAAGGATACAAATTGAGTCACAAGATGTCTCTTATTATGTGGGACCGTCCTTTGTCCCCGATGTCCCACATATTGATTGACTCTGCAGGATTTGCATTTGCACTGAGTGAAAGTGCAAGTGCAAAGGATTTGCAAAAGTCTGGCTTTCACTAAGCTTGTGTGAAAAACGGAGGAAAGGCTTTTTAATATTTTTCAATTTCTAATGCTACTCCCATCAGGGAAAGACACCACCAAAAAGTCACAAGGCATCTGACTTTTAGTGGAAAAGACTGAAACAACCACAAAGAAAATAAAGGGAAGTTTATTTCACTTTGCGTTTTTGCCTCTTTGGATATAATTATGCTTCAGGTTCGTACTAGGAAAAATATAGCATGAAGTGACAATTAGTTGACAATGATAGAATTGTCAGCTAAAAAACCCCCACTTAAAAATCAATGTTCATCCCTACTACTGAAATGCAAACAGACAGAACAAATAACATAAAGAGAAATATGGGATCATATAAGGAGTACATGATAAGAACATAGCTTCGTCTTCCCTTTATCCTTACATTTACTTGTAAAAGTTGGAAAAGTTACTTTTAAATGTCATTAATTTGGCCTCTACATAATAAACTAAAATCTGGTAACCTGTCATTGGTAATGAAAATTTCTGACTACCTCAAAACATTGCTAACATGTCCCCACGGAGTCACACACAAAAATTATTGCTTTCCTCAAACTGGGGTCTGATCATCCTAGTTGCAAAATGTTTGAATGTTTTTCCAATGCTGCTAGAAAACGTCAACCTTCAATGGAAAAATCTTTGATTAGTTTTTTTTAGTCTCTCTATAAGTCACTGCAAGCAAGCACACAGAGGAGAACTTAAACTAACAGACTGACTTTTGCAGATATATTCATTTGAATTATGCAGTCTGAATCTGGACCTCAGATTAATGTTGGAATGCATTTTTACACACGACAGGAGAAATAACTGTCTGTGTTGGTGCTTCATTAGCTTTTAATGTCAGGATAAATATGTGTTGTCAGATGATTTCTATACTGTTTTTTTATGTTATAGGCTAACGAATACTATAGCTTCGACAAATCCATCTACAACTCCAGTTGTGTCTCCAACCACAGTGGCAAACAAAAGTAAGTGAATCTTTAATTATGTATGTCATTTTGTCTGACTGACTTCTTCTGAAGGTTAGGAGAGCCAGCAAAAACAATGAGCCCTAAGCATTCAAGTAGATCTTTAGGAAAAGGAGATTTGAAAACAAGATGTGATTCTGTGGGTTTGCTTTTCAAGCTTTTTGGTCCACACATCCCCAAAAATATTGCTGAGATAAAGCAGCTCTATTTAGAAGAATGTTTTTCCATTCTTCTAAATAGAGCTGCTTTATTCCTCCTGACCGTACTTCAGATTTGATCTGCAACTACTTAAAAAACACAACTGAGGCTCTCGGAGCCAGATTACTAAATGCACCAGCACCAAGAATAATAAATAATAAAGTTTAAAATTGTATTTTTCTTAAAGTATGTTAATGCAAATGCATTGTGTTGTCTATCCGTGTATACCAGAAGATTACATCACATTATATAACCCACTAATGTTGAGAAGTAATTCCAAACTTGCTTCTTTTTTTTTAATCGTACGACAGGATTGATGTCTACAACTTCAACTCCCTCTCCAAACAAAGCTCTTGTTTCAACATCCAAGGCTTTCACGAATCTATCAGATCCTCATATAACAGAAATTCCACGTAACTGTTAGTGCTCATTTTATATTTTAACAACACATTTGATACATTAACTTACTGCCCTTGGTTTTTTAGTTTAGTTTTATAACGTATCACACTTGCTATGACATTTAGCAGGTTTAGCAGCCTCTGATTGTTATCCAATTTACATGGAAGATAAAGACATAATATGCTTATGTCAGAACTTATTGATGTGGAGTGTGTCTTTGTGTCCACAGCGGGGAATGCAGGAATTTTTCTTGCGATTCTCGTGATTAGCTTTGTGTTGCTCTCATGGTTCCTGCTGATCTGCACCATGAAGATATTCAAACACAAAGACAGTTTTTGCTGGAGGAGGAGGAAAGAGGCTGAAGTCTCCAAGAACGGTAATCTGCAGTAAATAAATCCAATAAAGTACCTGTGCGTTGTATTTAAGTACACATTTGAAGTGTTTGCATTTCATATGAGATTTGTGTAACTTTATCTTCTTTAAAACGTAATGGCACAAATTTGACCCTTAAGGTTACCGTAAATGTTACTTTTGTTACTTTTGTCAGTCCTTTTTTTCTATTGCCTAATTGTATTTTGTTCAGTGCAGGGTTTTACTAGTTTTCAAGTGCTTTGAATTGAACAATCACTTTTATTCATCAGAGTATTTCTACAACTACCACTGAGCATTAACATACAGTACACAGAGTAAACAGTACAGGCACTTAGCGGTTCGGTAGATATTGATTCATGTAGTTTTCATATGGCTAATATCAAAGTTATGTAAAGTACTACATGTAAAGTACTAATATGTAAAGTACTACACTTTACATTACTTGACCTCTGGGAAGTTAAGATACTATGACACATCGCAACCAAGGACAAATTTTCTCATTTTACTCCTCACAATGTGAAATGTACTGTCCAGTTGTGCATTAAATAGAAGAATATCCATATTTTGTTCTGTTTTAAAAATGTGCCTTAGTGACTGAACATGTCTTGACTAACAGACAGGAAACTCAATGATAATATCTCCTTTCCTTTTTAACAGAACAACCCAGTCATCAAGGCAGTAACCCGACCACACTGGTTTGTGCTCAGTTTCATGCACTTCGTTTTCTTTAAAGATAGCAATCTAGGCAGGAACACTTACTGTAGGTGCACAGTGAGAATTTCTTGTACATAGTTCATCAAGATAATTAGCTCATTAGCTTATAATTAGCACACAAGAAAGGCAGAAAGTTTTGGTCATCCCTGTCATGCACTTCAAAGTTTGTACTCATGCTGTCTTGTTTGTTCTTTCAAGACGCTTACATTCTCTGAGGAAACTCCCATGTTGACTCTCAATCAGAGTCCAGCCATGTCAGAACATCCAACCCACATCAACACTCTCGTGCCAGTCAATGGCCAGATAGGTAAGACTATCGGAGTATTTGATCTCTTGCTAACATGCACGACATGCAAAATACTGGACTTTGTAAATTATGTGTTGATGATTTCTAATTAAAAAAACAAAACAAAAACACCCCCTGCAGAATTCTCGGAAAAGTTTATTTTAGTCTCAAAAGTCATTTCCTCATTCCCAATGTAAGGAGTGATTAAAATATTCCTTACTTTTAATAGGAGTTCAGTGAAGAAGGATAAAAAACCTCAAATTCGAGAACAGCCAACAATCAAACAGTCTGCATTTCTTTTTCTGTCATTCGGTATTAAATATTCACAGACGAAATCCTTCTCTGCCCTTCAGCACAGGCTTCCATTGTATTGCACTTTAGGGTAAATGTAACCATTTATGGTTTAAGACATAACTGGCAATATAAAACTGATAAATGTGACTTTATCTGCAACATTTTAGCAGGAAATAATTTCTTCTGCTACTACTTCTACTACTACGATCCCAGAAAATACTAGTTTTGTTACTAGAATCATGGGATTATCAGCTAAGAAGAACACCACATACCAAATGAAACTCAGTGGTGTTATAGATATTTTTACACATGAAGTGCAAAGGAAGCTTTTGCCATATTTTCAGAGACAATATGACTCATAAAAGGATAAACAACTTTCAACTTTTATTCATTTCTGTATATATTATATCCTTTAAGTAGGCAGGAAAAAAACATCTCTCTCTTTCCCTATATACATATAGATATAGATATATAGAGAGAGATATATTGATATAGATTTAGATAGATGGATAGAAGATTAGGGTCATTGCATCACGTCCTTCAGGACAAGTCAAAATGAGTTCTATACAGTACACACTATAAGGCTGAGTTATCTTTTGGTCACTTAGGAGTTTAAAACAGGCCAATCAGCACAAGCTGGGTAAATAATGTAGTTGCTTAAGAATTTGCTTCTACACCACAGTGTGATTTTTTTTATTTCTGTGGTGAGCAGTAGAGATGGTGCATGCTGCTGCACTGAATTACTTAAGAAATGTGTTAATTTAGAGAGGAGGTGAAACCTATTGTTCGTAGCGCTTCAACTTTCTCCCCTCATTTAAATGACTGTGGACTTCATCCGAAGTGAGACTTAGGTATTGAATGCTGGAGGGTGTGATGGGCTTGGCTGTAAATGTTTGAGATAAGTGATGTGAAAACTGCGAGAAAAGTTGTAGAAGAGGAAGTGTTCAGCATTGAGTTTTCCAGTAAAGTTATTAGCATTTATGATCAGTGACACATGTTTTTATGACGCACATAAATAGGTGGTAGACAGTAGGTCATAGCCAGAAAAAGTGGCATTTGGCATACTTTTTTTTTTTTTCAATTTCATTGTTTCACAATTTAACAAATGCTTTCAGATAAAGTGTGATCCAAGCAGATTACCTTCAAAACATAATGATACCACGATTATAGTGTATGATGAATAAAACCAGGGGAAATTTCTCAGTTGTTTTACAATGAATGAAAAAGACATACACTTTAAAAAACTAAAAATATCAAATATCATCAACGTTAAACGAGAAATATTTCTAAAGCTTTAAGGAGAATAGCTACCCCTTCAAATACCTGCTTGTCTGCTTGTGTTGTTAAAAGGAAGCGCTATTTTGCTACTGCTAAATTGTTTAATTGAATTATATTAGTAAAATTAAAAAATGTTGCTGTTGCAGTTTCTTCCATCTGATAGAAGCGCGGTATACTATCTATAAGTGCTGTTGTTTTTACTTTTTCATCTCTTCTTGTTCACCATAGTGTTTATCAGAACCACATCTGTGGAGGTGGAAACTAGGAAATACAGCGTTCTTACTCTTTCGCATCAGTCAGCAATGTGACATTAAGTCAAATGGCAAGTCAGATAGTGAACACATGTGCCTGTTAACTGTGTCATATGGTAAACTCCTGATATTCAATGTAAGCCTTTCAAGCCTGTAGGTGTGCTTTAAATACAACTGCAGTTATTAGTGAGGTCATGTTGTTGTTGGCATTCACGGCTAAGATCAAAACCTGTTTTTAGTTTTGTGCTGTTTGAACTGGGGTGAGGATTATGCTCTGTTCTCCTCTTCATAAGCTTGAGATGGGACTTTTATTCGCGTTGTGTATTCTGTATCATTACGTCTCTTGACTGTTGTTGTCCTGTTATTACAAAGTGAGAAAGCTTTTCCACTTAGCAGACCAGTGCTGATATAATGTGGTCAAATTTCTCTGTATATCTTCTGAATTACTTAATTAGTAATTACTTAATTAATTAATTCGTTTTTCAGAGTATACCATAATGCTGGTTGGAGGTTAAAACGTGGGTTGTATTCAGTGGTTGAGAGGAGGCGGCAGAAAACACTCAGGATAGTCAAAAACTCACAACCACACTGGTACTGGGAATTCCACAGTGGTGTCCTTTAATTGACACACACATCACCTACCTTACAAGGCCCGGTTGAACAGCTGCTGCCTTGTCATACATGAAACACAGTGTTCCTACAACCTGTGACATTACTTTGAATTAGGAAGGTAAATATATGAGGTCCGTGTCAGTCCATACGTCCATGCGCAAGCACGTTTCTCCCACACTCTACAGAGAGCAGTGACGCATACTTGTGACATCACTAAACATTAACTTAAATTGTCTTAAAGAGACACCACACAATTGTGACTGTTACAAGGTGTACACTGAATCATTAAAAAAAGCTTTCTATTAGAGTCAGTATATACAAATCATCAGTTAAAGTCTTGAATTATGCCTAATTTCTTTATATACTTGCTTCCAAGGAGCCAGACTTTTAAAGCAGTCTTGACCAGTAGTTCTTCAGGCTTTCTGAAGGTCTTTCAAAGTTCTGTCTTTGGCCATTGGCTGCTTTTTCACTCATTCTCACTCTGATCATTTTCCGACGATTTTTTTTGGTTTGTTTATTTTGCCACTTCACACTGACCTATGACTCACTCAAGCATAAAAAAGACACCTCACTCAAGGAATGAATCAGTGTTGTGTTAACACATTAGAGATAAAAAAAAAACGTAGCAAAATTTTTTTTGTTTTTTTTCAGTTGTTGTCCACGCAGCTTAACACGCTGTTAGTGCAATAAAGGCATACTGGATAGAAAAACACGTAGTAGAAGGCTATCGGTCGTGGATCGGCTTTCCTAGAGCCTGAACATCAAAGTTATTGAAGCAGTGACAGAGAACGGAATGAAAAGCAGCCAATGAAAAGCTTTGAATGTGCTCCAAGAAGCCTGGGGAACTATTCCCAAAGACTAGTTAAGGAAAGTGCTGTAAAGCATACCTAAGAGAGTTCAGGCTGTGTTAGATAATATAGGTGGTCACACAAAATCTTGACTTTCAAGCTCATTAGAACAAATTAACTCTGTTTTGCCCTTATTTAATGCATTTCTGTGGATATTTGCACCTCTTTGCTATTTTCTTTGCAAAATATTGAGCCATGATGGATGGCTCAAGACATTTGCACAGTACGGCACACTGTAACAATGCTGATCTTAAACATTAAATAAAAAACATTAAAAAAAAACACTTGCTGTTATCACTGCTTATCATTTCACATTAGTTTCTCTAATCGTGGAAATGGATGACGACAGTGACTCACAGATATCCTAACAGGGTGGTCACAAACAGGAAGCTCTTAGAAGCAGCAAAATTGACTTGTTTGAGACAGGAGGTGAACTGCTGCGCAAATGCTCTATTTCACATAAATACAGATTATTTTAACCTCAGACTAACGCAAAACAAGCAGCTCAGTGCCCTGTGTCCTCTGACTGTTAATTATTCTCTCCTTCCAGTTGCCAGACGAAATGACCACGCAGATCGCTGGCCGGCCATCGTCCTCTACGCGATCATCAAGGAGGTGCCCTTGCAAAGGTGGAAGGAGTTCTTGCGTCTGCTTAAGGTGACTGACCAGCAGATGGCACGAGTCGAGATGGAGACTGGTTTCAGTCTCGGCTCCATGGAGAAGCAGTACCAGATGCTGAGGCTGTGGAGCCAGCACTCTTCCTCCAAACTCAGTGATATTTTCTCAGCCTTACACTACATGGAATTATCCGGCTGTGCACAGATGCTCCAGGAAAGCCTGGAACAGCTGCAGTGGACGCCTGACCAGAGACAGGCACTCACAGCCATTTGAATGGAGCAGTGTGGGACAACTGAGGCTGTACCTGGCGGCACAAGTGTAATGCTATCTATAACATGACTGGAAACATAAATTATTCAGCCATGGACGCTGGTGTGAAAGATTAGACACTCGCTGGAAAGGACATTACGATCTGTAGCCATATAGTACAACCCTAGAAACCTGGAACAATGTCGTAAATATCCCGTACTGAGTAATGCAGACGTAGATTAAAGCCAAATAAAAACATCTGATAAACTGGAATGTAAAAAAAGTGGACCCTTATTTCATGTTAAGACAGAAACCTAAAATGTTGAATGTAAACAGATGAAATAATGGATTCGTAGCAGTGCAAAATGCAGTTTCGAACATCAGGTTACTTCCTCAAGAGCATCATTAGCATTTTTAGGAACCACATAACACCTCTTAACACACTCATAATATTCTTGTAGCCTACAGTAGGTGGAGACAGTAAATAAATAAAAAAAATATTGAGGGAAGTCCCCTTCCCTTAACTAATGGCTGCTGCCAAAAGTTGTTTAGAACAATGTAACCTCCAGTTTTTTGTGTGGTGCCTCTTAAATGCCAACAATGGAGGCTGCGGTTTTTACAGCAGTACTGCAATGTACATGTATAATTGGGAGGTGTTTGTGCTTAAAGGGTAACCAAGGAAGTTGCACTTCCTTAGTGTAGTGTACGTGATTGTTTTACCTCCACAAGTCTGTGCTTGAGATTTCTCTGTTTTTTTCCCCTTTTGACTTGTCAAAGGACAGACTTTTTCAGTCTGAATCTTTAAACTGTGCGTGTGCGTGATCACTCCGTGCACATCTGGGATGTTTGTGCAGCACAGCTGCAGACGTCTCCCTCGTTTAGTATAACAACTCAGCCACTGATTGTTATTGTGCACTCTCGCAAAGGAAGAAAACTGAAATCCCCAAAGGACGTCAGTTTTTCAGTTTCCTGCAACTAAATGGTGTCAGTGTTCAGCATGCTGGGTTTTTCCTCACCACACATATTCCATTTGAACGGATGGTTCTCACTTGTGGTGTTTGGGTATCTCACTTTGAGAGGTTTTTTTGTGTGTCTATGTGTGTGTGTCATTATACTTCATTGACAGTAAAGGTCTTGGATTTTCCCATTTAAGATGTTTATTTAAGAAAGTTTTAATGGGAATGTAGGCCACTTTCCCTGAGATATAAATATTTGTATATGTTTTACAGGTTAAAGTATAATTGTTTTTTTTATTTATGATCCATTTGTATGAATATTTGTGTGGTGCAGAATAAACTGAAAGTGAAAATCGTAATGTTTTTCATCTCATTGTGGTCTTTAGTGGTACACTGTTATGAAAACGTGCTACTGTAAAACCCCAAATCAAAATGTCACCTGTATATGTATATGTCATGAATAAAATGTTTGGCCACAAGGTGGGAGTATGGACTGTATGTTTGAACCGCAGCAGCTGGTGTGCATTTGTAAGCGCACACACACCCCACCTACAAAGAAAATAGGAGCACAGTACTTGAAGAGCTTTTATTCTTGAGTTGGATTACACCCATGAATTGCAAATTTGGGCTAAAAGCACAAAGAACAGCTGCCTTATATTGTTCATAGTTACTGGATGGAAAAATAACAGATCCCTTACAGGACCACATTCACTTTATGTGTTTACATGCAGCTTCAAAATTTATAGCATTATTCTTCTGCTGTCATGTAGATATGCTGTCAGGCTGCACATCACCATGTGTTTGCCATGTTTTTAACCACACCAGTGTCACCTGCCAAAAAAGGGATTTCCAGTATTTCTCAATAAATAAATAAATAAATAAATAAATGAAAGATTACCAGAACTGAAACTGCTCTAAATGACTTGTTGGCCTTTACTGTCACCTATATCTCACAAATGATATCACGTCATATAACAAGCTATGCAGAGTAAGAAACACTTCTTTTACAAGGTAAAGGTTTTGTACTTATTTAACCAGGTGAAAAGATTTATTGAAGGTAGAAATGTGATTTTCACATCATACTTGGCCAAGTGGGCAGTAGAAACCGCAAGAAGTTGAACACAGCAGATATTTTAAGTGTCCAAAAAAAAGTTTGGACAGATGATAATGTTGAACACATAGGCACAATAAAGCAGTCATAAAGATCTTTGCAAAACAGGTCATTTCTTTATTTCATGTATATATAAAGGCTTTGTAAATCCTCTTGACTACTGCCTTTTTATCAGTTTATATTTATCAATATAAGCACAGAAAATCACTTTTTGGCATGGGGTGGCTTAAATTTTTTTTTTAAAATAAGAGGTTAAAGATGAAGTTAATTGAATTTTCCTTATGTCTTGATCTTTTTCTTTTATATCATGGGTAGGTGTTATATACGCTGTAGCTTCAACCTACACCTTTTCGATTTGTCATATGACTTCTTTTCTTTTAATCATTTCGTGTGCTATAAATGAACCGAATAAAGACAGTTAACCACCGGGAGCACCAGCTACAGCACAGTTTAGAGGCTAACTAAAGACGGATTTAGCATTTTTTTTAAAAATCTCTTAAAATGTCTGTAGGAATATGAACGGCTCTTTGGAGGTATTTCCAAATGACATATTTTCCCCCTTTCGCACCGTTTTTCGTGCTCCCAGCAGCATATCTTTAAGCGCTAACGCCGAGTTAGCGTGAAGGAGCAGGAGATTTTTATCAACAATTTTACGCAGTGTCGCCAATAAGGAAGCTGCAGGCTTCCTACGTTTTCTGTGGTTTTCAAGTAAGCACGAGGGTTAATGGTTTCTATTGGCAACCGGACCCGGATTCTCAAAAACAACAGCTGGCGACCTAAACCGTCCCGTCCTGAGAAGAGACGCGACACAGCCTGGAGGAGTTTGTCGAGACAAAAAGGTTTTTGTGGTTTGTGTATGTGTGGTTTCTTATTATTATTATATAAATATATATTATGCTGTCTCAGTGCCACCTGTTACACACTTGAAAAAATTCCGCCGCAGCTTCTGTTTTGTGAGCGTTGACCTGGATAGCTATTGAATTACAAACATGGAGGACAGTTTTCTTTTGTCGGGACGTCTAATTCAAGACAATAAGTTGACGCTACCCGTGAAATAGAATTTTAGAGACATTTTTAAGTCTTGAGGGATTCAGCCTACTGTTGTTGTCAAAAAAGCCGCAGTAACTGGTAGGTTAGCAATGGCTCAATAAAAGCCACTGGTACAAATCCAGTCAAGTCGATTTTATTTTACCAGTTCCCTTTGCAGTAGATAAAGTCTTTCTTCTTTTGTCAATGGTAATCTTATTTTGCGTGTGCGTAAAATTTCACCAAACTAATATCAAGTCAGAACAATACAAATACATAGTTATAAATAATAGAAAACACTGTGCAAAAAGTTTCAAGCCACTCCTTATGTCTTTAAATTTGGCATCCAAGTAACAAATTTAAGCAACATACTTACCTTCATACAAGACTTTTTTTTTCTTTTTTCATTTTTACAGTGTTACTGAGGAATAGTTCTCCAGGCTTTCTGAAGGTCTTTCAAAGTTTTTTCTTTTTGGATGTTGGCTACTTTTTCCACACCTTTTCACTCCAGTTTTTGGACCTGATAATTTTCAGATAAATAATTTTTTGTTTCTTTTGGTTATTTTGAACAACTTAACAATGCAATAAAAAGCATAAAAAGTCTTCTAACCCAAGAGTTGAACTAGTGTTGTGTCTACACATAACAGAAAAATTAGCAATTTTATCTTTTTTTTACTAGCAGCCTGTCATAAAACATAATGTGTTTTTCTTTAGTTAAATATATTTTTAAAAATACCAAAAATAAAACAATTGTATTTTTGCACCAACAATTGTGATTCTCAAAGATCTATTAGTTGAAAATGTCATAAATGTTCCATACTGAGTAATCAGTATAACTCAGTATAACAATATCTTACCTAAAATCCTGAATAATCTGTATTTATGTGAAATATCCTGAATAAAAAACTCAGGAGTCCGCACTAGTAGTAGGAGAAAAGAAGAAGTGGCAGGTCTAAAAGAATTACAGGAGATGAACAGTATCTTAAGAAAGAAGATAAGAATTAAGAAACAAGGGGGAAAAATCCACCATAGATTTGTCACAGGAACTGAGAGATGGATCTGGCTTTTCAGTTCATATGATATTATTCATCAAAGCTTGATCAGAAATGGCTTTTGTGTATGGGAGGCTGTCGAGGGAAACTAGGAGAAAAGGCTGAGATATTGCAAATTACACAAGAACTGGACTGAAGATCAGAAGATCAATCCAAATTTCAAATCTTTTGGTTCAAATCTTTGTCAGTATGTGCAGAAGAGGTCTAGAGAGTACAACAATGAGTCTCTACAGCATTCTGTAAAGCATGATGGAGGCTCTGTCGTGGTTTGGTGCTGTATTTCAAATAATGGTGTTGGGGATCTTGTTGAAATTGATGGAATTATGAACTCTATGTTGAAGAGTAAAGGTGCTTGTTAATGCTTGTTTTTATTACTTCTTCTTCTTTTTCTTTTTTTACATTTCAACATGTGACAGATATATTTTATCCTCATTTCCTCCGTTAACCATTAGACTACAATGTTGTAATTGCTTTCAACAGCCATGAACAATCCCGCCATTTGAGCAATCATGACTGCTTTGGTTCGACCTGGAGTCAATATTTCAGAGCTATGTAAGGAAGGAGACAAGTTCCTTCGGAGCGGTGAGCTGGAGAGAGCCACCTCCTTGTACATGTCTGCCTTCAGGACTCACGCCACCTCTGCGGTGTCCCACATGAGAAAACTGGATAAGTCTGGTCTGGATTTGGTGATCGCTACTCTAGAGGGCTGGCTTGACAGTCATGTGAAGAATCAGCCTGCAGAGGGTCTTAATAAAGGTCTTGCTGCTGTTTTCCTCTCCACACTCTGTCCCAACAATCTGTTAGCCACCATTTACAAAATGGAGTCTCTTCTTCAGAGTGACACGCATGCCTGTGAGGAGATTCTTGCTCGCTGCACTGCTATGCTTGAAGGGAAGCGGAACCTTCCTCCAGAGGGTTCAACTCATGTTTTGTTAGAGATAACTCGAGCCCTCGCCTGCTTGTTATCAGAATCTCACAGGTTAAAGGGACTAAAGATTTACCTCAAAGCTTACCGGAATAGCAAGTCTGAAACTGTCACACTGGTGAAGAGCAGACAAGCGGGATACTTACCCAAAATAGTGAAGGCCTTTGCCGAACAAATCATGCTCATACATCCCACTCTGGTAGTTGACAGCAAGTGGAGAGTGGGAACAAAGGACAATGACAAGCTTGAAGAAGAAACTTCTGCTACTGTTATTGAGTTTTTGCTGTCTATTTCACCTAGTAACAAAGAAGTACAGGAACTCAATGCAGCATATTTGTTTTTGATGGGCAGGTTTATGGACAGTGCAGAGGCATACTCTTCCCTCTTGCAGTATGCTCATGGCCAGAAAATACCAGAGAGTACTATAGAAAAATTGCTCCAAGAAACTCCTGAGAGGACAGCCAGACTCTTGACAAGCCGAGCAGCTGCTTGCTTTTCAGCAGGTGGAAAGGTTGCAGAGGAGTGCTCAGATTTGGGGAAAGCATTTGAGACTCACCCAGCCACTGCCCGAATTTACTTCCAAAAGCTGTTCAAAGATCAGGGAACTGGGGTGGCAGCTTGCAACCATCTCCGTCAGCAGGCGGAGAGAGGCCTGTCTGATTACCGAGATCAGGTCCTTGTCCGGGCAGATCTGCGATCTACTGAAGGAGTTGAACTTCTGGACCCTGTTATCACTCAGTTACGGACCCTGTGCCATTTAGAACCTGGTGGGGGAGACAGAGAGTTGCGGGTCCGACTGGCTGATTGTCTTCTCCTCAGAGGAGAGCACAAAGAGGCCCTCTCTATCTGCAGCCAGCTAGCTGCCGCACAAGGTCAGCAGAGCTATCAAAGCACGGTCCACGTCCTTCGCGGATATGCACGATTGCTCTCTGATGACCAGAAGGGTGCATTAGAAGACTTTCAGGCTGTGATTGAACACAATGCCCCCCACCCATCCAGCTGTGTGCGAGCACTTTGTGGCAGGGGCCTCCTGCGAATGATGGGTGGCTTAAACTACCTGACTGCTTTAGACTATGTGACAGCCAGCAGGCTGCATGCTCAGGAAACAGCATTTGCTGTGCGCTGCTTGGTACCCTGGAACTACCGTGGGCTGCTGTTTACTGTTCTGCTGGAGCAGGGACGATTCATGCTTGAAGGGTCTAGAGATCACAAACCCAAGTCCAGTTCTGGTGAAGACTCCCAACAGC